TAACTATATACTTTATTGCTTCTTTGTTTTGAAAACAAACTAGAAGAACAAACTGACAAAAGTAATTTATTCTGTTCTTGATACAAGAGAAACCAAAAGAAATATGAGAGATTCCAATAAATCTTTTTAAAGTCTGTTTCTCCTACGCCGTTGGTGCTGCTGCTGGGAACATTAACAGGAGCACCACCTCCTGATGGGGGCCTCCTCCACCTCATGGCTGGCCGTGGGGCTGCCGTTGGGTTCAGGGCCGGGAGCCCCATACGTGCTCTGCTCCATCCTCTTCATCACCAGGTTCAGCAGGGTGAGCACAGCGGCGTCCACATTCACTCCCGACACAGCGCTCGTCTCGAAGTAGGGGATGCTGAGGGAAACGGGAACATTTCACAAAACTGTACAAGATGCAGCATCTTTGAAACAGTTCATGAGATCGACAAATATTTTTATCTTTACATTTTATTTTTCTTAAATGTCTTTAAAAAGATATCTCAGGAAGACAACCATATCAACAGATAAAAGGCCAATCTTCCTCATTGATAAAGACTGATCAGTTTCCACTCACCCGTATCTGTCAGCCATCTCTCTGGCCAGTTTGGCGTTCACGTTCCTCGTGTCTCTGATGTCTGCTTTAGTGCCCACCAGCACCACATCTGGGTTATCACAGTACGCGTTGGCCTGAAGTTGACCTGCACAAACACAAGAGAAACTGCTTCAACCAACCTGAAACTACGAATCAACCAGGCTTAGAAATCAACAGGAGGGAAACGAGAAGACATAACATACTCATCCAGTTCCTGACGTTAATGAAACTTTGCTGATTGGTCAAGTCGAACATTAACAGGAAGCCCATTGCATCTCGGAAGAAAGCCGTTGTGAGGCTGCGAAACCTTGGAATAAAGGATATTTACCCATGCTAGCAAAGAGTGTCTTGTTAACACACATCAATGTCAAAAATGTCAATCTTACCTCTCCTGACCCGCTGTGTCCCAGAGCTGGAGGTGGACTCTGAAGTTCCTCTCACTCGTCCCATCAGCACCGGTTCCCGTGTAAACCTGAACCAAACCAGAACTCCATCATCATTTACTTGGAAAACCAGGACAACTTTGTTTCAATCAGGATGAAAAAAAATGTCATCAGTGGCGATCCTCAACGCTCTAACTTTGAGCCACTTTTATTCGTTATCTTTATTCTCCACCTGGGTCAGATTATATAATTCCAACATACCTTATGCTGATGATACCAGACTTTACGGTTTTTTCACTAAATTACCAATGTCTTTTAGAGTCAACAATAAACCGTAATGTGTTAAACATTGGTTCACTCCAAGGAGACGTGAACTAGTCAGTTATGTTCAGTGTTATCAACATTCAATTCAATTCAAAAATACTTTATTGATCCCAAAGGGAAATTAAATGTTATTGTAACTCATTTAATTAAAGAGTTGTTGTAGATGGTAATGGCTATGGGCAGAAGTCTCTGACTGAAGACACTGTTTTTCTGATGGTCAAACTCTTGTTTCATTTTAAATGCAGTAATATGTTAATTTTAATGTAAAACATCAATTTAACATATGATGTAGAAATTCTAGGTATATATTACAAACAGTTTAAATCAGGTATTTACATACACAGAATAAAAACACAAATCAGACCAAACTTTTCTTGTTTTAGCTTAGTTAGAATGACCAAAATGATTAATCTTGGCATGTTTTTGCTTCATATTGAACTTGTTTATATAATGGAAGGAGTTTAGCTAGTTTTATCTTCCCCAGCACTCACCACTCTCTTTTCTCTGAAGTCAATTCCCACCGTGGTCGTGAACTTCCTGTTGAACTTGCCGTCCGTGTACCTGTAGAGGAAGGTGGTCTTTCCCACGCCCGAGTCGCCGAGCGCCAGCAGCTTGATCAGATAGTCATAGTCCCAGTCCACCATTGTGCTGCTTGGTTGAACCTGCAAACGACTCTCTGCGGATTTTCATGGGAGTTCAGACACATTAGAGCGATTTTCAGTGAATCCTGACAGGGTGAGTTAAATTCTTCCATCAAAGCTACTGTTTTCCTTCTGCATGACCATCAGAGAGGCTTAACAGTACATAATAACTCCCTGATCACAGAAGGACAAGCACATGACTGGGGCTGGATTCCACATGAGCAGTCAAATGCCTCTCTGGAGTTTTCCCTGAATTCGCTCAGCAAAATAAGAATCCTTTCATTGACTTAGAGAGCTAAGCCACTGAGGTCATCGTTATGAGATGTGGCACTAACTGGGAGCAGTCTGGTCATCAAAAACTGAGTGGATTTCATTTAAAAATGATAAACAGTCAATTACTATTTCTAAAGTAGGTGTCGTAATTCTTTAAGGTGATTGAAAATTCAACCAAACAGCAGTAAGTAGCATTTCTGTGAAACTGACAGATTATTAAAAGAATGAAGCAGATTTAGTTTCCTAAAATTCTCAGCATCATTGAATGTGACAGGAATCTTACCGATCTATCTGCTGGAAGCACAAACATCCATTCAGAAGCCGTTCACCACTTTATGAAATAAAACTACTAGCTGTCATGAAGCGAAGGCACATTGCAGACCCTGAACCTTTTCCCTCGCCTCACATGTGATCTGGGGAGGAGTTTCCAGCCTGAGATCCAGGCGGAGCCGCGCTTACAGCCTGTTTACTGCTGGTTCTCATGAAGGAAAGGAGGGTTCGGAGGGGAAGAAAAGTCAGAAAATTCGACTAATAATGTGTTTGTTGCTTTGGATTTTAGTTTAAAAAAAAAACATCCCAGTGAGGAATGTGGCCCACTTTAATATTCTACAAAAACAATAAAATTTAAAAGTGACCTAAAATTCTTTCTATGGTCTATAGAAAACATGTTAATTACATTTTTACACAAAATTGTTCTTAGTTAATTTTAGTCTGGTCAGTTCTGCCTATCTTGAGCTTTCAGAATCAGATGTTTTAGAGCCTCTTGTCACTTGAAATCCAAATAAGCTGCTGCTGGCCACGCCTCCCAACTCAATGTTTACTCTCACCTGAAAATGGCTGCAAATAAATGCGCAATTACACAATTGTATATCCTTGAAAAGCAGAAGTAGAGCCTCCTGCACAACCAACAAGAACACAGCAAGTTGTTTCTGGATGTCTTTTCCAGCAGCCATTGTACAGTGTGCATACATCTGTAAAACCAGCTCCACATGTTGGAGCACCACCTGGGTTGCTAGGTGACGGGCTGGGCTTTTCTCGAGTTGCTAGGTAACGGCGCAGTGTGACTCAACAATAGGGATGTTTTGAAGCGGGTCGTTTTCCACACATGCATAAACATTAACTTATTGCTAAAACCAATTTTTTGAAAACAGGTTTTTTTTAAAACGGCTAATAAAATAATAATTTAGTTATTTTGGGTGGAGGGGTGTTTTCTTTTTTTTAAGCACATGAATTGTATCTAAAAGCAGCTGAGACCCAAATGGAAGTACAAAAACGTTGCAAAACATGAATTTTGCATAATAATTTGCATTTTAAACTAATTTTTTCTATTAAAATAAAGTCATTTATTGAACATAAGGCTCCATAACATTACATTTAATTTGCTGTAGTTACACTGAAAATCAATTTTAACGAGCAGTGAGAGGTTTATTTTATTTTCCTAGAACCCAGAAGCGAGAACAGTAACTCTTTAGAGAAACAAAGTCCTCATTATGACCCAGCTGTTTTTCTCTAACCGGGTTTAAAATACTTGAGCAGATTATTCGACTGGCTGCTCCTTCCTTCAGCCTTTCTGTCTTTGCCTTTGGAGATGGAGCCTTTTCCCGTTTTCCTGGATGACGGAGTCTTCAGAACCGGGTTCTGCTGCTTCCATTCAGACATGAGCTCCTTCTGAACGTCTGGGGGAAGTTCAGAAAACACCTCAGGGTCCACGTTTCCCGGGAAGTTACAGTCAGATGACAGGGAGAGCCATAATTTCTCCTGCTCCATGACGTTTTCTTCATTAATTACTCTCATTCCCGCCGGCTGCTGGTGATTCATTCTGGACCGGTCTGCTTTCATCGATGAATCGTTTTCTGGAGGCTCGTGTTTCGACATGTAGCTTTGCAGGGAGTTCAGATAATCAGGAGATAAAAGTTCCTTCTGGATTTCTTCTGGAAGGAGCCTGAACACCTCCGGGTCGACGTGCGGTGGCGGTTTGGTTTTGTCCAAATTTATTCCCTCTGTGCTGCAGGACGCTTCATAGTTTTCCTCTGATTGTTCAGAGTTACAAGTCATTTCACCTTTTGGTGGAACATTTCTGCTGCATTCACTGATCTGATGGTCCAAAAGGCAACTGTCAGCATTCTGGGCTGGATTATTCTGCAGGAATAAAACATCGGAAGAAGAAAAGCTTTAATGATCTAATAAATTACTGTAACAACAGAGTAACAATGCACAAAATGCACAAAACTACATCAGTTAGATGAGCATATTATAGAAATTTGATTAAAGTAAATGAGTCAATTTCATAAATAATTAACAGAGAAATAATTATTTTGTTAGCTCTGGTCAAAAACAATATTGATCTTTTATTTTTCTGCTCAAATAGAAAACGTATTTATTTTTTTATTCATAAAAAGTTGCATTAAAGGCCATGATTACCTGGTTTTGTATGGACGATATCTGGGTTTTCCTGGGTGATGCGTTGTGCGTGAAGAATGACGTGATGGCGCCCTTCCCGCTCGCAGCCGGCCCTCTGCTCTGCAGGTTACTGAAGCAGACGTTGATGAGTGTGAGGTGAAATGCTGCGCTGCAGTCCACCATCTTATGGAAGAGCTTCCCAGCCAACAGGACCAGCTGTGACACTGTGTCTTCAATGTTCCCTGGGGATAATTGATCATTCTGAATTTTCCCCAAAATGAAAGGAAAAATAGAATATCTCCATTTATGTAACTAAGCTTACGCCTCAAAGCTTATCTGATTTTTATAAAACTAAGTTTAAAGTGCATCAAGTTCACTTTTGGGGCTTTACATGTTGAAAAACTAAGAGATTTTATTTTTAATGCATATAATGAACCTAAAAATAGTTTAATTTGGCAATAATAACTGAAAGAATTTAGACACGTGGAATTTTTGCATCAAGTTTGTGAAAACAAAGAAAGCTCTTACGCTGATCATTTACAATAAAAAACTAAACCAAAACCTGAAAATGTTACTTCTTTAACAAAAGCATATAGTTCAAATTTGCACATCTATAAACGGACAACCAATATGTCCTTTTGGGCATTCTTCAAAGCGATATCAATGTTTCATTTCCTGTAACTTCAGCCTACCAGAGACGATCTTCTGTCCAACGCCGCTTGGGATTGGGGCCTGGCGGCTCTCCCTGCTGAACCACTTGTTGGTCGCTGAGAATCTTCGTATTGTGAGCCTGAAGGTTTGAGGCTGACGGCCATCTTTGTGCATCCTGGTTTTTACAAGCAAAACACAATTTTAAAAGAAAAATTATGTTTAATTCCAGAAACACGCGGATTTAGTGATGACCCGACCTTTCCACCAGACCACCGAGCAGCTCCTGGATCTTTGCCATGACTTCCTTCACTGAACACATTTTCCTAAAGGAGTCTTCATCACTGAGAGACTGGAACATGAAGAGGACAACAATGTGACCAGTAAATACACCAACATTCACTTATAATAACATACAATCATAATATTGGAGTTTGCAAACATCACACTTTCTGTATGGAGTTCTTAGTGATAAAACAAATGAGTTTGAAAGGACTAAAGTATTTAGATTTGAGTGTGAATTATTTTAATTTCCGTATGTGTGTGTGTGTGTGGCTTTTACTTTTGTAACAGTAAAAGTCACAAAAGAAAGATGATAATTTTTCCATTCATTACAATGTTGTTTGACTGCAGAGTTAAATTAACAAGCAGTAAATCGGTAAATTAAGAAGAACTTTCCTTGTTTTTTGGTTGCAGGATTATTTAATTAATAAAGAACTTAAAAAGTATTATCAGTAAACCACAATTTTTATTTTGTGGAGGTAAATTTGGGGCTGAGTCCTACCTGTGGGGCCCCAGTGGGTGTGACGGCTGATTCATCAATGCCGAGAGCCAGATTCCTCAGGCGCTGAGCGGTGGTACCCCCCAACTCCCTCGCCAGGTCACCCAGAGGGCAGAGCTGCAGGTCTTTCACACTGACTAACCCCAAAGCTTGAAGCCTCTTGGCCGTTTGGTGGCCCACGCCTGAAAGAAACCCCAGAAACACAGAAACGGAACATCAACATCATTTAAAATATCGGAAGGTGGATGTGCTTCAGCCTCATTTTATTCCTTATACTTGGAAATGAGATGGGGCAACTGCAAACAGAATCATTTGTAGGCGTATGGCCCAGTTATTTATGCTTTAAGTTGCGTTATTTTTACTGAAAGCTGCTGAAGATCAAATTGGTTGTGAATGAAAAAAAAACAGTTTATGACTTATTTCATTCTTTCATCAGGACAGCTGGCCCTACAATTGTCAAACTAAATGGCAAAATTATAGAGAAATTAGGACGTTATGGACGATACAAGCGTTTTATATCATTTGATATCAATAATTATTAATTTGTGTTTTGCTTTAAATATCTGAAATACTTCCAAACTGGTGTGGTGTGACATTTCCTGTTTCGTCCCCAGTTTTCACTCACTGCTGTTGTTTTTTACTTTTAAGCAGTTGTGAGGCACAGTGGTGAAACCTGAAACTGCTGCTGCACCAAAAGTGTGAGTGAGTTAGGGTGCGTTCACACTGCAGCCTGAAGTGACCCAATTCCGATTTTTTTTTGACGTAATGTGACCTGTATCCGATCTTTTCATGGCAGTGTGAACAGCACAGGTTGGATTCTTTTTCGAATGTGACCCATATCCGATACGTATCCGGTTCAAATGCGACCTAACGTCCAGGTCGCCTTCATCCGAACTGAACGTCACTGATTCTCAACAGATCTCACTATTCTGCGTCCTGATAAGCGCAAGTGGGAAGAAAAACAACAACCATGACGGACTATATGAGGATTAAGTTGTTAATATGCTGCTCTGGTTGGACAACAACTTCAAATATGTAAGCTAAGCTCCACCGTTAGCCTCCATGTTTACTTCCGCAAACACTGAGCACTTCTTCTTTTTATGGCGGTTGGCAGAACGCTGACGCTATTGCGCCCTCTACTGCGCATGTGGGACACTTTCAGGTCGTTTGCCCGTTTACACTGCAGAACGCATACAGGTCGCATTTACTGGCAGTGTGAACGGCCCCGGCAAAAAAATCGGAATTGGGTCACTTCAGGCTGCAGTGTGAACGCACCCTTAGTTGACTCCACCTTTCTTGTTTAGCTAGCTGTGAGAGGCTGAGCAGCTAATGCCTTTCCTCTGCCTACATCTCCCAGAAGGCTGTGCGTTATTATTGAATATTCCATCAGACGTATTATCTATTTATATTGATTTTGTTTCTATCACTATAAGAATTGTTATTAATTTACTGCCCAGCCCTATGAGAAATTACTTCATATAAATACTTAGGAATTTGGCTATCTATAATACAAGATCAGTTAAACTTGTTTTACTATTAAGCTTTTGTTTTAAAAGGTTTAATTGTAAAAAAAAAAAAAAACCTCATTCAAAAAAAAATCTTTGAATGAGTTAATCCATCTCTGACATGTTTTAGGGTGGGTACCTGGTACTTTTCTGAGGCCACTCAAACATCCCATAATATCGCTGACGTTCTCCTGCAGTAAAACCGTTTGCTGGTTTGGTTTGAAGGTGCCTGAAACCAGTTTAGCCAGCAGCTTGTTTGTGGCGACGCCAG